CGAAGGAGCTTTTCTTTCAAAGTTAGTGTTCATGGCCACACACAGCCCAAACTACACAGAGTTTCTTCGACTACATGGACTGCAGAGGTATTTGGTTTAGATACATCAGAGTCCTCTTCACAGCCACAAACAGCCCCGTTTCACATTCCAAAAAAATGATGGCCGCTACAGAAGTGCCAGGGAAGAGGCTCAGGTAATGCAGGTTTATAATGAAAATCAGAAGCTTATGCAGCCCTGTCCCTCATAGCTAGAGCCCCCAGCGCACGCAATAGCGTGCGTTGCCGCCTGGTTAGGATAAATTCCAGAAGTAAAACAGGATACCACTGATCTTGTAGATTATGATCAATTTTTTTCCTTCACAGGCCTTTGCATTCTTCAAAGTCCTAAAACTTTCTAAACCTACTTATTTTGCTCGTGCTCTTCCCGCATTTGAGCTACACACGATAGACTGACACTGATGTCCATCGATGGTGGATCAGGAACGATTGACACACGTTTTTTTGCTGCCACGCTCCGATCATGGGCCAATGTTTCGGCACAAATAGTCGGACTTCGCCATCTGGAATTTCCTTCTTATTTCGGTTTTTATGGCCTCATTTTCATTTTACGGTGGGATTTTGAACTTGTACAATTCAGAATTCGACACATCGTCCCATGCATCCACAATTAGCGAATAAGGAATGTCTTACCGTTGTTGAGGTTTAGGTATACAATGAATGTCGGGCTGACTAGGTGATCGTTCTTTTGAGACGCTACATCGCCTAGTTGGACTACCAGTTTGTGAGCCCGACTGTGATAACCGCGAGCCACGTCGTGAACGTACCTGAACAAAATTATTGAATTCTAATTGCTAACAACTTAAATTCTATATTTTTAAATTTAAATGATACTTTTTCATATTTCTATTTCTCTGGTCAGGTGCCTATTTTTATTTTTGTACAAACATTTACTTTTCGCCCTTTGCTGATCATTGCCCTTATAAAGCTTCTTGGATGTTTTGCTGGATGGATTCGCTCATGACGCAGATTTCGGATATTGAGATTAGATTCGGAAAACAATGAGTAGGGCTGTAAATGTTCTAAGGGGCTTTCCTTCATCATCCACAATTTTATAGCTTATTCAGGTATCATAGTATAACAAGAGTAATGCAAGAATACGGTAATCCACTCAAGTTCACCGTATTCCTAAAACAAAGAACTGAAAACTGGGTTTCCCCTACCATCGTACTAAGCCATTGCCAAGGAAAGACACAATCAGGGAGACCGGTGATGTAATGGATAAATACAAAGTCCGATGAGCTCTCAGACAATTTCAAGCTTCTTCCCAACCCCAAAACTTTCCCCTAACTCAGAATTACTTTTGATCTGAAGGTTTAAAAGCGATTTGACGTACCTCTTCAATAATAACCCGTGGTAGAGATTGACGTTTTTCTATTTGCCTATGTGTTGATTGCCCAAACATGTACAGTTGATGATTTCTGAGCTTTTTGAAGATTTTGATATAGAGGTATACCACGATGGCACCCGGTAGGAAGAACGAAAGAAATGAAGATAACACCTGAAATGGAATTTGAAAGGTTACCACACAGAAATGGGCAAAAAATGTTTATTCTTCAACATTCCCCTTCTTTTTTCTTCCTTCCAAGTCTTTTTTTGTTTTTGTTATATGTTGAAATAGGACCTTTGCCTTGGAATACATGCTTTTATGTTGTGTGGCGTATTCAAATCGATGAATAAATAAACATTCCCATCATGAGACGGAGATGGTGTAGTGGCAGGAGACACACTATCACATGCATGGTTCGAGGATCGAAATTTTGTGGGCTAGCACCTCCCAGACTAACCAAACCTTTCTTAACTCAAGGGTTAGCTGTTGCCAAACTTGGCTAGAAGGATAAAAGCACTGAATTTTGTCCATAAGCATTCAAACATTCCCACGACTTTAAACGGAACTAAAATAGGGGAGTGCATCCCACGCAGGAGATTCAACGATCAACGCCAAAAACTTTACCCTTTAGTTTTTAGTTTACGAATTTTAAATGCTTGTAGGCGAATGAGCGGATAGTTGTTGTGATGGGGGCTTATCTTTGACAGGGATCTACGCTTCTTGATAAAGGTTATTTGACGTCGACCATCGGCGGAATCCGTTCACCGCGGAAGAGCTTCACTATGATGGATTATATCGTATATTATTTATTCAGAAGTTTAGGGACCGAAAACTTCGCTCAACAACTCTATCATCACTAATGGTCTCACTGGATCTATTGTGCCATTCGTACGATTCAATCTCGACTATGTTCCCGGAGGGGAGATTTCTTCAACTAAGTGATTCCAACTGAGCGGAACCAGTAGGACAAAATGCAAGGCACGAAAATCAGGGAACTCTTTGAATTGAGCCAAGTTTTTTTGATTCCAATCTAAACCTTGGAAGCATATCGGATTGTCTGAGCTAGCAAGCTGAGGTACACTCGGAATAGCTGTTTTTTAACTTTACGAAAGCCTGTAACTACCTTCGCTGTTCCTTAGAGGACTTTTCATTCGCGTTAAAGTCCTAACGGGGTCAGTTTCTCACCGTAAGACATCAGCAAATAACGTATCTGTACCGTAATCTCATGACTGATCCATACTGATACTATGGAACTCAAGTATGTTGTTAGTTCTCATCCGTTATTTTACGACTCGGCGATGCATTATGTACTGCGGGGGTCACGTTAAAAATTAAGATCCGTGCTCGATTGCTGTACCCACGGCTCCGGCAAGTTACAGTCCCACACCCAGTTTGGGCATTTCTTGTGCAGTTCCCGTAACTCAAGATAGAGTATGTGTTGGGTATAAACACTCGAAGCGCGAGAACCCTAATCACGGCCCACGGTAGGGGTTTCAGTCATGAACAAGAATCAGGCCACCTAGACCGACCGGGACTGACCATTTGTAGACCACAATAGGGACTATGGCTGCACCTTTCTAACAAAATTGCAAATCCCCATTCCCAGACAATTCCATCTCCGATAATCGAGCTTAATGAGGCAAATGTTAGGTTATCCGTAAGTGGGAGTTGAGCCTGAGGCTAATAAGTTCTCCAATCCCGCTACCTTAACTCAATTCTCGTTTTCAATAGGAAAAACTCACAATGTACTGTGGATTGTCGATCCAACAGATAGTAGTGGAAGTCTGTTTTTGTTCCATAAATAACGTCGAACTGACTGCTAAAGCCATAAGCCAAATCATCACCAAATACGGTAACGTTGAAGTCGAAACGCTATGCCGTTGGTATTCCGTTGGGAACATAATGGCGAAATACCTGAAAAAAACCAGACTTTTCGACACAAATGATTCGGAGACACCTGGTTTATTTACTTGTTTACTGGGCCTGCAAACTTGTTTCTGCTTTTATTTTATTGATTAAACATATTTTTGACGGCTCACCGGTCTAAACTGATTGCCACAAGGTGTACGATACTGGCGGTAGTGGAAAACACGCCCGAAACGAGGTGGAACTGACACCAAGTATAGCCGAGCGTCCATTCATCGTTATGAAGCTATTTAAAAAAAGGTTCAAGACGTTTATATCAATAAAATCGCCGAAAATTGTAAGACTGCCAAAAAAAAACAGAATTCTCTGGGCTTTCGAAGGAACCTGGTTACCTTGTAGTAGAGCGATAGAGGCATGACGACCATCCCAACCAGTAAATCGCTGACAGCCAGACTGGCTATAAATTTGTTCGTCGTTACCGTTTTCAGTTTTCTATCAATAAGCACAGCCATAATGACGACACCGTTCCCGAATACCACCAGAACGATGAGCAACAGTAAAGCAACGTCGCTAATGCCCCAGTAGACGTCAATCTGAAAAACTGAAATCATTCGAGGACTTTCCGAGAGATGGGAAGGGGTTCTGCTAATTTTGCGGGCAGCTTTTCTGAGACTCTACTGGTGCTGTAGGTGATTAGTATTTATTTATTTATTCATTTATTTATTTATTCATATTACTTTCTTACCAGTTTATATGTTTATTTCTTTATACACTCGTCAGAGTGCACCTCTGAGATGGTATGCATAATGAATGGAGTCGTGTTGCAGAGGAAACGAGATCTGTCGATTCATCTACCTATTTATTTATTTTTGTAATGGTAAAACATGTTTATTGACAGCAACAATAAGATATTTATGAGGGGCAAAAATGAGCAAAACTCGAACCAAGCTAGCAATGGTCACAAAAAGTAATAGAAAGATGCGGGTGAGGACATCATGAAGCAAGGAGCCTCCCAAGAGTAAAATGCAAAACGATATGTTTTTACAGGTGGGACCACCTTCAAAATATAGACAGGGACTTATGCATAATTACCAACGAAAAACGGTGACATTATTGGATGTGGGTAGGCAGTACCAGCTCAGTGTTAGCCAATACGATGGTCCCTTATTCTTGCATTCTGGCCTATGCACTATGCTCTTCTTACATTTTTTCTTTGTTTCCTTTTTCTGCTCTTTCTCCGTATTGTTCTTTTCCCACTCTTGGGTAGGGCATCGCTTTCTGTTTCTTTGGTGTTTTTGTAATGGCTTCGTTTTCATTCTTTCTCCACACTTAGCGAGGACAGTCTCCCGAATAATTCAGAGGTTGCGCTGGTGCATCTCAGAATGTAAGAATTAAGAAATACTTAAATATAGAATACATCATTCAATTTGGAAAAAATCGATATTGGGTTGCGATTCAGAAGCAGTTAATCATTTTAAAAGGGATATAAACAAATTATTAGTAAACAAATTCGGGGCTAGGTCTCATGTTCGATTTCCAGTACTTTTTGGTTTGGCGTAAAAGCAGTGGAACTATTGAAACTGTGACAAAGTTCAAAAGTCTATTGCGCCAGGTTAGTTAATCGTGTTTTTGGGATGCGTCCCGCATCCGACTTCCATGCAAAATCGTAATGGAGTTTTGAGTGCGAAGACAGGGGATCTATAATAAAACAATATGTGATCACCAACCAAGAAACAAGTCACTGCCCCCAATCTCCCAAATGGGAGACGAGCGGAGTGATAGAACATTTGAGCGGCTTAGGCGAGAATCGAGCTAGGATACGATCCCGGATCGCGCGTGAGTTGTAGCGCGTCAGTTGCCACTATACCAGAAACGGCCGCTATACAAAAATAAATAATAGATGGATAGAGAGCCTATGTTTGAACTTCAATAAAGTTCTTCTTTGCTGGAAATTCCGTGTATGCATGCTGGCAGAACAGCACTATCGGCATTTACTATCCCGACATCCAAACCCCGATGTCCAAACACCGCCCATCCAAATCAAGAAGGTGACCAGCTCCTTTTCATCGCAAAATTTTGCATTACCACTTTTCATTTTTAGGTGGCCATTACCCTTTGGTAAAGAGCCATAAAAGGCCGTATTTGATTAAGACGAAAGGCAAAATCATCTGCTCTCGAAAAAGGGCACGGAAAAGTGGTTGATGTTGCCAATATAAATTATTCATAAAAAATTTCATTTATTTACATTTGCTTATTTACCTATATTATTTTATTATACGGAGGCAATATACCATTCTATCTCTGGCATATTTCCATGTCTGCATGATCAAGTACAATTCTTTACATAGAAATAGATACCTGCTCATTTATCAGTAGATACGCTCTCTGAATTACATAAAAAATAAGAATTATATATAGTGAAGAATGTTGTGTTGAACAACAAATAAATAAAATGGTAAATAAAAAAAATGGTGGAAAACCTTGTGAGATTGCTTATTTGAAAGCACTTGAGTAAACGAACTTGACTCAGAACTTGTAGAAATTCTCACAAAAACGGCTCCGAGAAAGAGTGAAAAACCCGGAAGCCTCATTTGTCAACTTCAAGCACTTTTTTTCGCCCCCGTTCATCCGAATATGGGTTCTATGTTGGTGGAAAGCCAATGGGCAATATCGTTGGCCTGGCGCCAATTCTCCAGAGACTTCAAGTAAACGGCTGCTTAAACGGAAGATCTACTATGTGGAATAGATTGCAATGGCGCAATGAGTTCAATAAACAACCTAAGTCCAACCATCCAGTTTTTGTGGAGACGGAAGTTCTCAAATGTGTATAGACCTTGTAATTTCAGCCCTTACTACTCCTCATAGATAAAGGAGTTCACAAAATAATTCTCCTTCTAACTTTGAAACTATTCATCTGATAAGTCTTTTTTCCAGGGGCGGAGGTGATGTATGCCAAGGGGCTCAGTGTGCACCTATACGTTCGAAAGGTACATATCCATCCATGAGTGCCTACTAGAAGGCGGAAAATGATAAACATGGAAGTGAAAAAAAACCCTCGCCATCAGAACTACCCATTTTTTTCAATTCTGAATTGAAGTTGTTGTTGCAATCAGGGAAATCAACAAGAGTTGCCATCCAACTTAATTGGCTGTGGGAAGAATGAGGGTGTGGGAAAGGTAGACGACTTTTAAGGTCCGTACCTGTACCCAAATAGAATACAAATGACATGGTATAGAATGCCAAAATCTATTGCATTGGGAGCTTTTTGTTGTATAGAATAACCTAATCTTCCGAACGTTCTCTCAGCGTCTATTGTGCTATCCTCTGCACCACCGAGTACTAGAGGACGGACTGTTACCGAAAAATAGTATGAGCTCTGAAAATTATAAAAAAAAAGATGGATATAAAAATAGAGACTTATCATTGGAAATGCTTGGATCAGTCAGAAGCTCTTGCAACAGTTTGATTGGGTCTTTTGTGCTTCCAAGATTCACAACTTTATCCAGCTTACATTTTGGCCTCGTTTCCTTCTTCAGAGCCTTGAACTCAGAGGCCAACCGCTAGAACGACCACACAAGAATGAGACTTCTGCGTACAATGATTGAGATGGTACGTAGACGTTGATGGAAGCAGTTATGAACACCGAAGTAGTATTGAATACCTCAATTCTTATGTCCAGCCTGACTAACACAAGAGACTTTGTCTCTAAGCAGGCAGAGCGAGCATGCCATTCGTGACCATTCTAAGATCGAGCGATTACTGGCTGAATCCGTCGGTACGTCTAACAAATACAGAATGACTGCCAGCCCTTTAGACAGGCTTCGCTAGGATTACACGAAGGAACGGGATGCAAATCGAACGAGAACGGTCCACTGGATTACTTTAACTCGCAACATGAACGAATGAAGACGCTACTGAAGCCTGCTCTAGCAAATCAACGACCGAAGGGACAAAGGTGATACAGGTGAATGTTCATTGCACCGATTTGAATGGTCCCCCTAGTCGAAGACCATGAAAGCACGACTCGTTAGTTGGACAATTTCGAGGGAATTTTCATTAGCAACGCGACAAAGTCATTATCGCAATGAGTTTGGGGTCGTCGGTAGGCATGAGAAAGCGGAACGACCGTAGGATTTGAGTGTGCTTTTTCGATCGACTACCAGAGACTAAAACTTAATAAACCTACTCTAACACGAGTTATTCCTGTAAGCCTGATGGTGTACTTTACTTAAGCTAAAGTAAATAAATAAACAAGTAAACAAACAACAAGTTTAGGTGACCTGGTAACTTATTTGGACCATGACCTTAACAGAGTATCACGTAGTCTTTCTGTACTATTTCAAGCTACTACCGTCTCCTGCGCCCCAATGTTACCCTCCAATTCTCTCAGTGAATTCCCCGGCCTGTTATTCCTTGAAATCACTTTACACCCCATCAAAGATGTACTATAAGGGGCAGTTCACGACCATCATCATCCCAATGCATGCCCCCGTGGAATTGCTGACGCACTAGGAGAAGTCCCCTAACGCAAAGCTCATTGACGAGAGCGTATTCATCATGACTGGAACAGCGCATTGGTACTTAACATCTAAGGTTGTTTATACCAATCCCTAGGGATATCGAGAAAACGCCAGCGTAGGCTGAAAATAACTTTCCAGGACGATTACTGCCCCATGGCCAGAGATCTCTGATATTCGTTGCAAAAGCGCTCACATGCAAGCTGACACTCCCACTACCTCCCACGCAGGCATGGGAAGATACTCGGCAAATATTGCTTTTCATCATAAAAATCCTCCGCTATTACTTCAGATTAGAAGTCTCAATGATCTTGGTATGCGCCAGGCACTTGAAACAACGGCGAAAATGGAAAGCGGATCTGAATTCCTACAGTAATTTCAATCGTAAAGTTCTATGCAAGTGATGTTGAAAATCACGGACAATACATCTTACTTTACGGTACCCTGAATGAATGAATAAACAATGTCAAAGCCAGCCAAGCCCGAATACCAGTCGTTGACATTAGACGCCAACAATAACCCGTGGTAATCAACTGTTTTACGCTGGAAATTAATGAAAAAGTGGGCCAGTCACGCCACTTTTCCATTTGGGCCCGGAAACTAAAATAATCCGTTCCGTAGAATAGGTCACGCTGTCCGTGACTGCACTGAAACCTTTACAGGGTTCTTTAATGCCGTCTTCCCAAGAACAAAAGTGAGGCCTTTGCTCTTCTCAAGCTCAATGGTTATTTGGTTGAATGAGGCTCATAAATAAATGGAAAAAGTGAGATAAAACTGAATCAAAAGCTCAAACGCTCGTTTTCAGGAAAGTTGTAATGAATATGTGATATGATTCGAATGCCAACGTAACGCGCGAATTGCGTCTTTCTTTAAAGTCTCACGCTCTCCGAAAAACTGCCCTCGACGCTCGTCGTTAGTTGGACTGAGAATTCTCGAAAGTTTGAAAAAAAGGCTGATTACAAAAGCACTACATAAGCACCCTATGCACTTCTATTGATGCCCTTTCCAAACTCAAAAAGCATTAAGGATTCTTTTGGGTAGTCTCATTTTCATATAACGGTGCCGAAATAAAAGAA